AGAAATCATTGGTGGGGATCGGAGCGGCAATGGCAAAAACAACATCGAGGATGACAATGATGACGACGACGACGATACAATCAACAACAACAATGCGCGCACCGGCGCCGGGTTGGTAGAAATCTTTGGTGGGGATCGGGAACCGGTTAATCGCCACTACCACAACATTGCGAGCTTGGTGGGGCTCCCCTATCGATATACGAAGTTCTACACCGATTCGCCCGGGCACAACGTAGACTGGAACCAGCAAGATGTTCTGAGGGTAGAGGAGATGATCCGCGCCCTGATCGAAGAGCAACGGAGCAGCAGGAAGAATGGTTGAATGACCGCACCAGTATCTTGCCTGCTCGTTTTCTTCAGAGTTCTGGAAACAACTCCTCGGTGTCGCCGATTTCCGATTGAGAAGCAGACCTTCGGCCAAACTCATCGATGCGATACAATTAAGAGTAAACGCTGGTCGACCAGACTCCCTTGCACATTTATACTCAAGGAAACTCGTTTAGTATCTTCCAAGAAAAAGTGGGCACAAAATAGCAAAAGAAAAAAAGGGCGCTCTCAGAAGCTCGAGTTACCCATTCGTGAAACTAACGAAACGATTTCATACAAATCCAAAACTGTATTCATGAGAGAGTGTAATAATTCTATTTGCATTTAGCAGCAAGATATGAAAAACAGGATAGCTATCGAACATTTTTTTCATTACAGTAGTACCATACTCAACATACACTAATATGCATTAGACCGTATCACTGGCTCTCAGGATTGCTCTTGGTAATTTTATGACAATCATCAGGCCCATGTACTTGGCACTACGGAACGTACCCAGGGACGATCATCATTGACTACTTTACCACGCCGGGCACGCTACCAGGCAATAGTCAGGCAATAAGAATGGTAACTTGCTGGCGACTGAAACTTTGGGGAGGGGGCTAAGAGAATCTAATTATTATKGAAAATATTTATGGTAAAATGGTAGCTACCAGATTCCGACTAGAATTGCTACCAGATTGCTACCATAATTGCTACCAGATGGTAGCAATTCTGGTAGCAATTCTGGTAACAATTCTGGTAGCAATAGTTTCTTGGAGGTTCCCAGGACTGCAAATTGGTTTTATGAACGTCTGTAGTACAAAAGCTGTGTAGAAAGCACTGTAGAAAACAGCAAATCAAGGGGGTACACTGTCCATTTAGCAGTCCGGGAGCATAAATTCCTCTATTTATGCTCAACTTTTATGTGAATTAAGTGTTTACCATGACCGTTACCAGAATCTGGTAGAATTTATGGTAGCAATCCAGTCTACCAGATGGTAGCTATAATTGCTACCAGATGGTAGCTATAATTGCTACCAGATTGCGACCAGAAATGCTACCAGATTGCTACCACAAACGCTACCATAATATATGCCGCGCTACCAGAATTTTTTTTTTAAATCTCCTAGCCCCCTCTTAAGTATAATTGTGTTAACCAGCGCCTTCTGGTTCCATTCTAGTAGCGGGTCTAGTAGCAAACATACGTGGTAAAATCTTCAATGATGATCGTCCCAGTATGTACGTACATCACAAAGTACGAGACGACCCAAATGTCCAAATCCAAATTGTTTTTTGATCGTAACGAAGGTCATCGGAAGTTTTGGATGACCACAACGAGACCGAATACGAATAGACGTACGGTACGGTAGGCACTCGTATTACTTCGAATGATGACACGTACAGATATTGTAGTAGTCGTGCTGCAATCACCGACAGATTTTGTTATCGAAGAACAAAGCAAAGCAAAGAGAATAGAGTGAAATATTGCGGTATCACCGGAAAAAACTCTCGCATACACCACAAACTGCAAAACGCCAATTCCAAAGTATCTCACCAGCAAAACAGCAATGTCGACTTCACCTGCCGCAGAAAGAAATTGTGCCCTGCTCTTGCACCGCAAATCGACGACAAGGACGCGAAGGGGTTGGAAAGAAGAGAGGAAAGCTTCCCGCCCGCGGTTTGGGTCTTTGGTGGTGGCGATAGGCCCGCTGTTGGTGTTGCTGCTCCTGCTCCAAGTCTGCGTTCCGGCCGAAGCCGCTTACGCTAACGCCGGGGAAGACGCCGAAACCGGGGGGGCCTGCGTCGACGCCGATCCGGTGAATTGTCCCTTCTGGGCGGCAACGGGGGAGTGCCAGACCAACCGGCAGAAGATGCACGCCAGGTGCAAAAAGTCCTGCAATCGGTGCAAGTGAGTCGAGCCTTTTGGGTTTTGTCGTCGTTGCTGTGTCGTTGCTGGAAATGGGATTGAATTGTACAAATGGTCGGGTGTGGAGCTTTGTCGATGCTACCCTGGTCTTTTTCCTACCACAATGCGTTTGTTTTTTCAGAAAGCACGGTCTATTGCCGCGATTTCGTCTTTCCAAACAAAGAGACTCACTGCGTTTGATTCGTTCTTTGGATGTGGCGTTTCTCAGCGTCGTTAGGGTCAATGACCAGAGCGAGATCAATCGGTTCATTGCGCAAAAGAAAAATGAGATCGAACAAATGAGGCGACAGCGACAACAGCAACAAGAAACGCTGAACATACTCCAGGGTGATTCGACGCAAACGGAGGCAGAAAAAGGCGGCCCGAACAGGAAATTGGACGGTGTCGTTGATCCGGTTGATGCGGTTGATACGAAGCCGACAACAGGGACAGCAACGACAACCGAGACGGAAAGTGGAACAGAAACCAAGACATCCACCCAAACCAGCAACCACAGCGCTGCTGCCAGCGCGGGAATGTCGGAGACAGCTCCCGTCGAGGCATCCGAACCGTTAAAATTACCAACCTCGCGTCCGGCCAAAAGAAGTGCTCCTGCCGTCGAGGCATCCGAACCGTTAAAATTACCA